ATCGGTTTCATCGCGAGTGGCGAGCAGCAAAATCGTAGAACCGTTTTCCATCGAAATATCTAATTAATTCACTGTTTGAAAGTGTGCTGATTTAGGAGAGGTAGGGGGTGATTCTCGAAGGTTAGGGGTGGAGCAACAAAATCGGATTCATCGCGAGTGTCGAGCAGCAAAATCGGGGAACCGTCTTTCATCGAGATATCCCATTAAGTCATTGTTTGAAGGTGGTGTGCTGGTTTAGGAGAGCTAGGGGGTGGTTCTCGAGGGTTAGGAGTGAAGCAACAAAATCGGATTCATCACGAGTGGCGAGGAACAAAATGGAGGAACCGTCTTCCTTCGAGATATCTCATTAATTCACTCTTCGAAGGTGGTGTGCTGATTTAGGAGAGCTAGGGGGTGGTTCTCGAGGGTTAGGGGTGGAGCAATAAAATCGGATTCATCGCGAGTGGCGAGTAACAAAATCGAGGAACCGTCTTCCATCGAGATATATCATTTATTCACTCTTTGAAGGTGGTGTGCTGATTTAGGGAAGCTAGGGGATGGTTCTCGAGGGTTAGGGGTGGAGCAACAAAATCGGATTCATCGCGTGTGGCGAGCAACAAAATCGAGGAACCATCTTTCCTCGAGATATCTAATTAATTCACTGGTTGAAAGTGTTGTGCTGGTGTAGAAGGGTTAGGGGGTGGTTTTCAAGGGTTAGAGGTGGAGCAACAAAATCTAGAATAGAGTAACTAATTAGCAACAAATTCGGGCTAAAAAACGTGTTGGGTTTTTTATTTTTTTATGTGTGTGCTAACTTTAATCTAAAGTTAGCACACACACAATTTTCTTCGAATCGGCTGGAACAACAAAATCGGGAATTGAGCAACAAATTAGCAACAAAAGAGCACTAAATTTCTGTATATGTTTTATTCGATTGTGCTGAAGTGGCTGTGTCAGCTTAATAGACGTTTCGTTAAGAGACGAGCTCAAATTAATCAAAGAATCGAAATAGTTGAAAGAATATGTGTTTAAGGCACGTCTTACATGTGTTAAGTCTACTATCGATATCTCATCGATTTTGTAATTGCATTTCTTTGTGTACACGGAAATTTACATATAACTTGGAGATTATCTCTATGTGGAAAATTACGAATGATTACTTTATTACTGTACACAATCATCCACTTACTAAAATCTCCGTAATATCTCGCATCTCGTAATTTATTTATTACAATAAAAGATTACTTAATTTTCTGTGCTCATGTAAAATCTCTAACAATTCTATAGAACTTTGATGAATGCAAGTAATTCTCGAATGTCTGCTCAAACAATCATCTGTAATTTCACGAAATCACATGTAATTTCATGAAATCACGGTAATTTTATAAAATAGCAATCATTCTTCCGAAAAAGAAGTAATTGATTCCATCACTGACGATTCGCGACGATATATCGTTCGTGATGAATAAGCTTATTTCGAATTTGCATTACGTTCGCCAACATATAATTATTTTTTGTAAAATTTTCGCTTTCATTTTTATCTACTTATTTAATATTAAATTATACTTTAATCAATATGTCTTTCTATAATTTGTATTATAGAAAGATTCGACAACATGTCTCATTCGAAAAAGTTATTGAGCTAATTAGCTTACTCTATATTAAGCAATTAGCGAACGTTGCAGTAGGTGTATACAATATTTTCTTCTCTATTTTCTTTCTTTTTTGCTTTTGCACCTCGTATTGTTTGCGAAAACGGAGCGAAAATGGGACGAAATGAAGATGCAACCTACACACGCTGTATCTCGGTGTTCTATTTACGTTCAAAATTAATTATCGAATTTCAAGACCATTCTTTCGCCGAAAACGTTCCATTCTAAGATTCTTCACCGAACGAAATATTTCTCTCGACGAACTTTCCATCGGATTCGAAGTGAAACAGAACATCTGTCTGCTGTTTTTTTTTTCCTTAACAAAACCAACAGTGTTAAAAAAATAGCCTGTACAATAAAACGAAATGGGTAATGTCGTTTTCTTCTTTTAAGTTGCAGCACAATTAATTTAGTGTAATAAAAATAATTAAAAACTTTAAAACGGTGAAAGGATTACAAGTCCCAGTGGGTGTGCGTGTCTCTTTAAAAGCGTTTAAGAATCCTCTCGAAGATAACACAACGTCACGCCAACGGTATATAGCGTATGTTCCACCCATGTAATTAACGAAGCGAACACGAAGTGAATACGAAGCCAACATACTGTACGCTATTTAGCATGAGAAAATAACGTTAATTACCGTGACAGATTGTGCGCAGCGTGTGATACACGCTGATAAGAAAAATAGCATTTTCGTCACGTGTTCTGTATCTTGCTTTATTATCGATCAAATTATAAACTTATCATTTCAGACTTTAATAAATACCGAAAGAAATGATTGCACTCTTCCATTAATTATTTTTTTATGAAGCAACAACTTAGTTTTTTAATTACTTAAGCAAAGGTTCTTTAATGCAATTTGTCAGTTTGTTAATTTTTCATAAAATTAATTTCAATTAAATAACGGACAAAAATTATTTTCACGAGTAAGTATAATTTTCTTTCTACCAGAAACCTTTCTTTCACATGATATTCATCTCTTTTATATTCGATAATGAAACCGTAAACGTACAATTCCGAAAGAAATGGAAAAAATATAATAATAGAGAACAATAGAATATAATAAAATAGAGAGGGGGAAGGAAGGGAGAGAAGAAAATAAAGAGACTGATTACACCTGCATCTCCATAGAATAATAGATATTTTGGCGAATGAACTTGAAAAAATGATACTGAATTTACGTTACCAAAGAAAGAAAGGCAGCCAGCAAGCCAGAAACGCCGACATGATGATGCCGAGCGTTCTTGCTGCCTTCCGCTCTCTTTTCATCTTGCTGCTACTAGCCATCGGCGGTTCTTCCGGCTGCGGTTCGGGCGACGATTGGTCTACGGTCGGCAGAGACGTTAGACCAGCCGAGATCCCGTTGATTTGCAGATGTTTATTTAGTAGAGCGGCTGCAACTTTGCTCCTAAAACATAAATAAAATAAATATCGAATTATTATCTGATAAATAACAATGGTACAATTATTTAGCATGATGTGAAATATGATATTCATCGGATTTCATAAAATAATGCTTTTCGTTTAATTAATATTTTCTATTTCGCAATCCAGAATCCAATTTAGCAAGTTTGTATAATAATAATTCTTACTTCAGAACTTCATTTAATACATTAAAGAATGAAATTAAATTAGATACGAATAATGTCACGGCTCTTACAATTAGCTCCCTTATTCCTTCGGTGTTATTTATAGATAATGAGTCAAGTACATAACTTGGTACAAATAATATTAAAGAGATTAAATATAAGTATCTTTTCTATTCCACAAAGTGCAATAGTTTTCCTAATATTAATCCTAACATCCCTTTGTTCTAAAGCATATATTTGTAATCTTTGCATAAATAATCGTTTATACTCTCGTTCGAGGTGATAGGTAACGAAACATTGAGCAGCACAAACAATTTCATATTCGATTTCAAGAACGAAACGATGGTGTGTTGCAAGAATTCGAGCTTATTGCGATTCGTACATGTTATCGATAATCCTAGGTTACATATTTATCCTAGGCTACATATTTGCGGTCGTCAATAATATTATCTCCACACTTTAACGGTTGAATAGTCGAGCGACTAACTTTCACCGCTAACCGACTCTTTTTATAAACAATGGATATGTGTGACGCCAATGTGGCGTCAGCGGCTGTTTACGATCGGCACACAAATAACGCCAATGTGGCGTTATCGGCCATTAAAAGTGATAACATTCGAGACCTTTAATTAAAAAATAAAATTTCAAAATTAGATAAAATTATACCTGGACACGAATAATCCCCAAATAAATATTCGTATAAAAATTGATAAGTTGTCAATATTAGATTCAAGCATTTATTGCGTTGCTTGCATTTTGCCAAATTATTACGCGATTTCTTTCCTCTCTGATTAAATCGTGTCACCGATGTTTATTCAACTTCGACCTTCTCGACCGCGAGTACGATGCACTGTAGTTTTATCACCACTTGGCTGTTATCCAAGTTTACTTCATGCTACCTTTCGGCCTGCTAAACCGCATAAATTTAATGTCTTCCCAACATACGATTATTTTATTGTTACTTCCATTTTGAATTCGCCGCAGTACAATTGAACAGGCTTGAACTCTAACCTTTCGACCTAGATTTTTCATCGCGGCTTGATGAAAAATTTTACAAGAATTAAGAAGAATTAAAAAGAGATGTAAAGAATTTTATTGCTAAGCCATAAGAATTATTTTATTTTAATCGGAGATTATTTTAAGATTAAAAATCATCAGATTATTGTTATTATGGGATGATAATAATAGTGATAAAATAATAATATTTAATAGAACAAACAATTAAAATTAAAAAATGCAACATATAATTTTGATTGCTTTTCGAAAATTAGAATCATTTTGGGATTTGAGAACTGAAATAACACTATTCCATGCCGAGAAAATATACGTGCACACAATATATGTATTGTGTGTGTTTACTTTTGTATATTTCTATGATATATGTATACATATAATCTAGAAAATTGCGCGTCGTATGTACTTGTTGGTGAGCTTTTGCATTCAAATATTGCATTCGTTATTCGATTTAGTTACTTCGCCCGCGCGATTTAACAACGTTCGTTTCATCGCACTTACAGCTGATTCACAGGCAAACGCAACTTTGAATTAAAATTGCATTCGCAAGAATTAATATCGCAAAATATTTGCAAAACAGATGCAGATTTCAATTATATTAACAAATCGAGAGAAAAAATATTTTATTTGGTTAGAAAGAGAAAACATACTAATAAAATATTATTAAAAAATTTTATTACTGAATCTGTTTCACTTTTATTTTATCGAATACAGCAAATTATATGGATAAAAGGGGCATGAAACACGGTTATTCGCGTGTGAATATTACAGCATAAATATATTTATTACTGATTTTTTTACGACTTACTCGTAAAGTTTTCGTCATCGATCAAGTGAGAATATATACAATGAAGGTAACTCAAAACGTAGCCGAAACGTCCATATGATGTATTGCAATTACTATATAATGTATTACAATTAACTATGTTTATACTATAATATATTCACAAATCATGTTGCACTCTCGCGCCTTTATTTAACTACAATTTGTTATTTCAATATTGAGCGTACTTGTAATTCTTCTCTTTCCGAATATATTTGCTTATTTATATTTTTTAAATATTTATCCTGATATTTTATTTATCTATCGTTTCAAATATAGTTTTTTTAGACAATATTGGTAATATTATCTACAAACACTATCGAAACACCATTAATACCATCATCTAATCTTCAACTTCTGGGATTATTATAAACAAGGAAATTACGATTAGTTTATGGTACATCATAAAGATTTGCATTTATAATAAAAACTCCGAGAATATTGGCGATGTAATTAGAATTAAAATGCTGAAATATCGAAGTTTGTGAACTTTAAATCACTCATTAGCATATCCTAAATAAGTAGTTTATAAATGAGTAGTTTACAAATAAGTAGTTTCCCTCATTACTAGAGGCAAACGCAATTAAACTTTGGCAGTTGCCCGTATATCCCGTTATGCATCAGTTCAGAAATCCGCGTAGATACAGAGCGTAGATATTAATATCTTGATTTAATATATTCAGAACGAGAGACAGGGACACAGAGAGAGAGAGAGGAAAAGGGAATTCCTTCAACATACAATATATTATGAATATATTTTGTATCATATATAGCAAGTCATAAAATATTCTCTCATTTCATTGATAGATAAAACTAGAATCAACAATAAACACGAATCTTTCCTTATAATCGTAGCCCAATAGATAAATTAAAATCTTGATATTCTATTGTTCACTAAAAACTAAATATCCAAGTCTGACCTCGTAACTCGATAAACGGTATGTACAATTAAAAATTTCAGATCAAGTAGAACTTTCCATATTACTTTGGATCTCAGCAACTATAGCTTTTAACAAAAAGAATATCGCACAAACCTCTTGTTTCAGATACGAAGTTACGCTCGTTCTCGAAACAGGCGCAAACTTAGAAGATGCTTCTCGACTAAGGTTCTTTTTTTCATAAACATTCTCTACAGCATGAGAAGAACGTGGAAAGCATTGGCCGAAGCTAAATTTGATGTTACACGAGTATAAAAAGATTGGAAACTTCTCAGATTTTAACAAATAAACGATCATGACATTTTCGTTAGTAAAAATATTTCGTCTTCGCGAAATTCATCACGTTTATACTTAATCGACTATAAAATTTTAAACAATGTGTTAATTGCTAAAATTGTTGTAAAATTGCTAACAGAATTAGTGTCAGAATTACATCAATTTCAAAAATTCCTATTTCAATTTCATTAGTATTTAAATCTAATCTGCCATAATTTTATCTTATTTTTCCATTAAACTTTCACTTGTTCCTGTATTACAGCCGTATAAACATTGCCAGATGCTGATTCGAAGACTTAAACAAATGTGTAAATTTGCAGCTTCATTGAAACAATGCGCAGTATATTCATCTTCATTAAATCAAGACTTGCCGCTGCATTACGCTCGATCTAGAATATAGGTACATTTAACCGCTACATAGTTATGCGCGGTATTTCGCTGCCATACGGATAGTCCGATCGTAATTTGCACGAAATAAGGCCGCCGATAGCGACGTCGGTGGTGAAATATCCATCGCAAGATTACTACGGCGAGATCATTTATCGTCTGCCTTATGCAGTTATGTTACATGAATGTTTAACAAATAGCCCGTGATTACCTTTTAATATACGTACGTTATAAAATACATATACGTAAAAACCGACAATAAAAGTCATCTTCAACTCACTTATGTAATGAAAATCGATCTCTGTTGTGGTTTATTAATATTCTTACACAGAAAAGTATTATATATCTAATAATTATTTTCTATTATATAAAATAGATATTGTAAAATAGCTAAATAAAGATATTTTCAAGTCGAATCACGTTTGAGTATTCGAAGGAAAACTATCTCTTCTTGGAAAATAATTTTCCTCTAGTTTTTTATAATAATTAATCTAATTTCAAAACTTTGTAGAGAGAGAGAGAGAGAGAGAGAGGAGGGGGGGAGAGCATTCGCTGTAAAAGAATATCGCGTTCCTTTTTATAAATTTTTGTTGACAAAAACTTCAAAATTATTAAACAGTGAAACGACGAGTCTGTACATTTACAGAGAATAAATATCGGCGAGACGAATATCATTTCCTTGATTGAAAGGAAACGGAGGCTATGTATATTTTATGTATACACAGGCAATAGAATAGAAAATCAGTCGGTCGGTCGTGAAAACGAAACAGACGGATGAAACTTATGATTGCAAAGCAAGGATATGAAATAAAATATCGCCGGCCGCGGAAAATGGCAAAAATCGCTCGTAAAAGATATAGTCGACAGCGCCATTTGGAAATACAAGGTATCCAATAAATTATGATATAACCAACAAGAAAATATATTTTTTCCGTGAGACAGAGAGAAAAAGCAAATAAAAAAAATTCAATAAAAATATAATTACAATATTAAAATATGTTTTATATATTTTTCTTGTACATTTTGCTTATTTATTTTACTCTATATTTCGTGATATTATATAAATATAAAATATATAACAGGCATATGATTTTTGTAGAAAATGTAGTAATTAAAATTTCAAAGATATAAAATGAGATAAATATATTTAATTGTATTCAATTGCTGCTTCCAAAAAATGATAAGGTTATTTTTTCTTAAGAATCTGAGGAACAAAAAACGTTCCGAAATTTTGATACACCCAGTATTTCAGATTCGCCAAGTGTACGCGCGACGAATTCATGGGGAATCTTATCTCACCGAGAAAACTCGCACCCGACACGATTCGATAAGCTGTAAGCTCACACAGTGGAGAAGTTAGGGTAAAAGCTTTCTTCATCCA